TTGTGGCAGACCTACCCAATCAAATTAAATTTTGGTAACAACGGTTCTTTGTTGGGGATTGAAATTCGTAGATATTAGTTGCTTTTATTCATTGTAATTAAACAGTTGTATTCGTAGATATTAGTTGCTTTTATTCATTGTAATTAAACAGTTGTATTCGTAGATATTAGTTGCTTTTATTCATTGTAATTAAACAGTTGTATTCGTAGATACTAGTTGCTTTTATTCATTGTAATTAAACAGTTGATCCAGGATTTTATATTTAAAAAAACCCGCTTTCATTTCCTGTTGGAAGTTAAAACATGTTCCTACAATCAACTTGACGGAAGTTTAGAGTCAAACTAACAATTTTTTTATTGGTTGCCAGGTTACGGATCCCTTAGACCCCAAGGACATGCAGACTTTTACCCCAACGGCGGACAGAAGCAGCCCGGATGTGTGAGCTCTGACCTTTCAGGATTTCTACCTGGGTTGGGTATGTTGATCACGTGGTACAAGCTCATCGACCAGCAAGCTGTCTTGTGGTCCTTCTTGTCTAAATCATACATTGTCTTAAAGCGTTATACGCAAATGTACTAACATTTAGCTGTGTAACTATTGGCTGCTACTTGATTCTGATCCTGCAGTTGGTTGCTTGTCTTAAAACCGCCCATACCATTGACATTAGGGGGTTCGTGGTCCCTGTTAAATAGTTTATTAATGAGACACATGCAATTTGTGTAAATAAAACAATAGATATGTGGCACTCTTCCGTCTTCGCGAGACTATGGAGTAGCTGCGCACACTTCATCAAATGGCTCCATAGGCCGCTCCTGGGATGGCAGTCTCGTCTGCATTTCTCGCAGCAGACATTTGCCTTCTGGTTAGATTTGGTCTTCTGTAATGCTCATTTTTTTTTTCCCAAGGGCTTTGTTTCGCGCATTTTACGCCCTTTTTCGACTCCTTCAAACACTGCTGCTCGTCAGCTGGAACGGTGCTCGGCGATGATCTCCCATTCGTTGATTTCATGCTCCTTTAGCAAATGTCCTTAAATCGCAGTCGCTGGCCGTCCAATAAGTCCTGCCCCTTCTGCCAACTCTCCATACCGCAGATCCTTTGGAATACGTCCTTCCTCCATTCTCCGTACGTTACCTTTTCATGGTCTAACCAACGAAGGCGCCGCTTGGTAAGAGCGCAGTTATATTTACACAAATAGTGTTTGTCTCATTGATCTTCTTAAGAGCTTTGTAGCGATCCAACTCTCTAATAATTAAATGGTTTAACATATCTGACATCTCTTCTTTAGGTTTCGTTAAAGCTAAGCCTTTAGCACACGGCTTTGTCTCGCGAGATTTATTATTTTTCAAATTTTGTAGGACCCTCAAATTACCAATTCCAACTTATCGTTATCAGTAGCTAAAATATTACCAGGATTTGTGTAAGAAATGTAAGAAACACATTGTTTTTTTTAAACATTTTTTTTAAAAAAAACCTCTGTAATATCTGAATTTAACTCAGCCATTGATGGTTGGGGAAAAGTGGGGGTGGGTGTGAATAGGATAACGGTCCCACAAGTGGCTAAGAATAAGGTTTCCCAAATAGATATAACGATCTTGGGAGAAAAAATAAAATGATTTGACCCTGAAACTCTCAGTTTCCACCATTTTCTTGTTCCAGCGTGGGACAAAGATATCGCTTGCAGCCATGCTCGGTCTTATGATCTATTCATCCAATCGCTGAGTCCATCTTCATGTCAACTAGAAGCCTACCGGTGCACGTCATGGGAGGAGTATGACGCGGGCAACTGTACGAGCTGTCCCGCCAACGGTTGCCTTCCTATGGGTATCGGTGCAGCGCCTCCAAGTGACGCCACAGGCCAATATTTTCTAAGCACAGGAAGTAGAGCGCCCTTCTGCGGTAAAATGTCAATTTAGATTACTACAGTTATAGAGTAGCTTACCGAGGGTGCTAGCGGTGACGTAGGAAAGGGGGTGCGTATGCGAGGAGGTCCACCTCGGGTGGCTTTTTTTTTTTTTTTTTTTTTTTTTGTGTTTTCCATGCTTTACATGAAGGGGCGGCATTCTCGGCCAACTTCAGAGGGGATTTTATTTCGCGAAAGAGGGACCGCAAAAAATCTTGACCCGCCCCGCACGGCAAAAACCCTTGCCACGCCGCTGGGATTGCCACGCCGCTGGGGTATGAGTTCACCATTTCCAAATTAATCCAATCATAAAAATTGGTAGCCTAGTCGAAAATGTGCTATTGATAAATTGAAACATTAAGAATGAGATTTTAATTTTAAAATAAAATGAACACCAGATTCCTGATATTTGCTGAACGTACATTGGCGCTTTTATATTTTAGACGTTTGGTTTGTTTTCAGGACGTTTGAAATAAGGTCATCAAATCAAATAGATTCATAGACTACATATTATATATATATATATATTACATGCGGTGATGTTATAAACTCGATGCGGTGATGTTTTTCAAACCACAAAAAAAAATATTTTACGAACACCAATAGAAAAACAAACATCATATTCTTAAAGTGCTTGAATCGATCTTTTAAATGGTATCATTTTTATTAGTATGCATGTTACAATTGTAAGAAAATATGTTGATGGAAGTTGTCAAAATGTCAATAAAACACTGCTTCTCAGCGTTTTGGAGTACCTAATATATATATATATATATATATATATATATATATATATATATATATTTGCAACGTCTGAATTAAACATCAGCAAAGCAGGGTCGAAGTCAGAAAAATGTGGAGCTCCTTTGTCCCCGGTGTGATCCCAGCTAACAAACCGCTACCGTACCATTTCTGTTCAAGGTCAGACCTACAGCGTCCAAGTGGTGCTGAGCCGCTCAGAGGCCCACGCCTACGGCCGCCTGTTCCTGGCGCTGGTGGACGCCCGTGGGAGCTCCGGTAGTGTGGATTTCTCCAGGTAAATAAACTGAACAAGACATCGGAGTTTAAATCTAGATGCTGTATTTTTGCACTGGAATCATTGTGTGCTTCTCTTACCCCACTAAAAGGGATTTTTTTTTTTCTTTCTTTGAATGTCGCATGTTCTGTCATAGTCTCATAAAGTGTGTGCGATAAAGATAATGGAGGGTTTTCGCATTAAGTCTATACTCTCAAGTTGTTACATAAATTTTCCGCATTTGTGTGTGTAAGGGGGGGGGTGCAATTAGGTATTGTCTACTATCATTTATTTTATTAAAACAATTTGGATTATAAATTATAAACAATTTGGAAAGACATTGAGATATGTTTATTCCTTCTCGGAATCAGATCAAACAACCACTACCACTCGGGACAACTAGAGCGCCATCTGGTGACCGTCACCGAAAGCCTCGGAGAACTGTCACAGGTGATGCTGCTTTTCAATAAGGGGACTGGACTCTCCTCCCTGGGAACTTCTGATTACCTCTCAGTTGAAAAGATTACGGTGTCGGCTTTAAACAATGCTACCAGGTAAAATGATCCTACGATTCCTACAAAACGTGAATCATAAATGTAGCTGCCCGATCACATTCTTACCCCACAAATTAGGAAATGAGTTAAACAAAGGATGGTCAAACCTGAACAACAAAAAAAGATAACGCAACAAAACAACGAACGTGGAACGTGTCGGCAGGAAGTCTTCGTTTACGAACAAACAGAAGAAAAAAATATTAAAAATAGCACATAAGTGAGAAGTAGAATCCGAGCGGGCAGCAAAAGAATGGTGACTGAACAGCCTGTCCCATTATCACCATTACTCCCAAATTTAAGCATCCCAGGGAGACTCACAATTATAGTTTAATTTTCCGAAACTAACAAGATACATGAAACAGCCATCGTGTCAACAACAACAAATAATAATCATAATATCGTGTGGTTCCCAACTATTTCTACAATATTTTCAGATCTACTTTCTGCAGCACATCCCCTGGCCTGGTCAAGTCTGGCTCAAGTCTCAACACATTCTCTCTTCAGACCTGTTCACTGGTTTAATTACAAGACACACAGAGCCCTGAACAGTTGGATGACTTCGATTCCACCTCTCATAACGGATTCTTTTGTAACATTTGATGTACCAACACATTAGTGGATGTTGAAATCATTTCTGACATAGGCTACATTTGATTTCAACATCATTCCTGACATAGACTACAGTGGATTTTAACATCATTCCTGACATAGACTACAGTGAATTCTAGCATTATTGCTGACATTGACAACAGTGGATTCTAGCATTATTGCTGACATAGACACAGTGGATCCTAGCATTATTGCTGACATAGACTACAGTGGATTTTAACATCATTCCTGACATAGACTACAGTGGATTTTAACATCATTCCTGACATAGACTACAGTGGATTTTAACATCATTCCTGACATAGACTACAGTGGATTTTAACATCATTCCTGACATAGACTACAGTGAATTCTAGCATTATTGCTGACATTGACAACAGTGGATTCTAGCATTATTGCTGACATAGACACAGTTTATTCTAGCATTATTGCTAACATAGACTGCAGTGGATTACAGTGGATTCTAGCATTATTGCTGACATAGACACAGTGGATTCTAGCATTATGGCTGACATAGACTACAGTGGATTACAGTGGATTCTAGCATTATTGCTGACATAGCAGTGGATTCTAGCATTATTGCTGACATAGCAGTGGATTCTAGCATTATTGCTGACATAGCAGTGGATTCTAGCATTATTGCTGACATAGACTACACTAGATTTTAGTATCAGTCCTGACAAAGACTTCTGTGGAATTTAAAAGCATTCCTCATTTTCTCTAACATTCACCTTTTGAAAAAGAAAAAAGTTGTCCAAGTTTTAAAAAGAGACCAACTGTCCTGAGATTTATGACTGAAAGTCATGTCAAGCATGAATGGCAATTCAACGAGTCAATATTTGACTGCCACAAAGAGAGATCTGCTTTATGCCACCTAAAGACAATTAATTTTAAAAAATGAATGAAAATAAAAACACAAATCAACAAGTACTGTAGATAATTTATTGAATTTTGTTTCTTTTACACATTGTTAAATAGTTTGCAATTTTTTCCTTTTGAAATTATGCAACTAATGGAAACCTCAAATGCAAAAAAAAAAAAAAGTTGTCTAATTTGTACGTTTCGGTTTTCTTTCAACATTTCATTTCTCTAGTAAATACACTTAAACAAGAGAGATACACAAACATATCAGAAAAGCTAGGAAGATAGGTGGATGACATATTTGAGAGAACTCCTAACTTCTCATTTTTTTTTTTTTTTGTATTAAAAGGGAAGCAACCACAAAGAATTAAGTTTTATGTACTGGTACCTTGTGTAACAAGCTTTTAAATGTATCGTTTTTCTTAAAATATGCAGAGTTGGACTGCATTCGCTGCTGCGGGTATCAAAGAATAAATAGATAATAATTTAAGGACTGCATTCAAGATATGTGAATGAAATAGTAAAACTATTTCATTTTCAAGTATCAAAGCAGCAATCTTAATTTGATGTGGACAGAGAAATAAAGCTTGTAGAAATAAATTTTGATTCGTGCGGTTGGATCTGCAGGCACTATGTCATCAACATCTAAAATTACAAACAATATTGAAAAAAAAGATTGAATGTTAGATAGGTTAATATTTGACAGAGTTTGACAGCGTTATAAAGCTGATCTTGAAAGCTAAGGGAAAATCAGAGCCGTTCTTAGGAGTTTGTGGGCCCTAAGCATGGAGCATAGGTTGGGGGCCCCGGAAAGGGGGGTCCGGGGGTGGAGCTCCCTCGAGCTGAGGAGAAAACACCACCCTCTACTGCAGACGGCTGAAGTGCCAGTTAAAAAAAAAAAACAGGGGGATCGAGGGTGCCTCATGAGGGCCCCCTCACGTTCGGCGCCCTACGCGGATGCGTAGTCAGCGTATGCATAAGAACAGGCCTGGGAAAATCTTTAAGCTGAAATTTAAATTTTAAAAAAATATTTTTAAAAAATAAACATATATTAGCAACAAGTTTTTATTAATAGCAAATGTTCTAAATTTACTATGAGACATTTTGCCAAACCTTAATGCACTTGTGTGTCGGATAAGTGCAATGAATTTGTTTTTATTTCAATTTCTATCTATCATAGTTAACTCGGATGGATGTTAGCCATGTTTGAAACCGAGTAAAGGAAGTCAGTTTATATTTCTAAACTGTTTGACACCAAAAAGTTAACTAATTTTTATATATTTTTTAAAAATACATCTAGGATAATATACAGTTCATTTTCGTGGCAAGATCCCATAACATGCATATGAATAACTGTCAGCTCTCCGAAAAGTATTTTTAATACCTGGTCGGCTCTCCAAAAATATTTTAACACCTGTAATAAACAGGTCCACTAGAAACTTAAGCCGTTTGAAACCAAAAAAGCTCAATTAACCAATGGGAGTTTATTGACTTGGATCGTTTGAATTATTAGTAAAATATATTGTAGAGGTAAGAATAAATCATACTTTCCCTAACACAAGTTTAGTTTCAAAAACATGATATTGGTAAATAAAAATGGAGGCAACATAAAAAAAACAAAACAAAAAACAGTTTTAAAACTACTATAAAAAAAAAGGGGGGTGTACAAAAATTGCTCATACAGCAATGGAATGAATTTTAACAATTGCCTATCTCTGATTAGTTCCAGATTTACTTAATACGGTTAAAAGTCTCATTAATACCTTTCTAAACAAAAATGGGCCATCCTAAATTTTAATAACGTATCTTATTACGTCAGTGTCTTTTGAGAAAAATAATAACATTGTTATTTTCAACCCACTTGTGTTAACCCACTCAACATCAACACTTAGCCATTTAAAAAATTTAAAAAACAAGGAAGAGACATGTTTCACTGGGACACAGGGGCAGTGAGTCCCCTTTTTTAAATTTTAAAATGTATGTGAGCCGCAGGTCTTAAATTCAACACTTTGTATGTTCTACTTCACAGAGGAGTAATTTAATTGTTCAAACAATATAGCTATAGATCAAATATAATGGTCACAGATCCAATACAAAAACCTAAAAAAAGACAGCTAATTACATAACTGGCCTGGTAAATAGATTGAGACTCACTGATTTCAACCAAAGTACTTCCTTCTATGAGACAGCACAAGCAAGTATCTTAAGTGTTTATCTCATTTGTTCATGATAGCAAAATTAATTTTAATGAGAAAGATTTATTTTCAAATCATATTCATAGAAATCACGTCATCAGCCACTTAACAGTTCACGTAGTAAAAGTATGTCAACCGGTTAAAAGCTATACTCATGGTTGCTACTGAATAGTTTCATTTAGTTTTCCAAAATGAATCCCTAACTTTTACCACCGTAACTAAAACTCCTTTTGTGACCAAAAACTATATTTCAAGTAAAGGACATAGAAATGCATATCGTTTTCTGTGCAAAAAAGTGTAAACAAAGGTGAACAAGTTAGTGAGCTACATAAGGCATGCACAAAATAAAGATCCACTTAACAAAAAATGTAAACAAGAAAATAGAAAAATTGTGAAAATGAAATTCTCCATATCTCCAAATTTTTCAGAAAGAGCTTACTAAAAAAAATTTTTTTTAATTTTAAACTTATTTTTTAAATCATGATCAATACTATTAATTATGGAACATCATAATTGATGCAGATTGAGACCATGGGGGATACAATGGGTTAAATCAAAGCCAAAAATAAAAAGATTTGTGGGCAGGTCACCTTTAAATTTTTGTTAAAATATATGACAAAGGATGAACCATTATCATTCAACAATTAGATGGATCTTGAAAAACAACAATCATGAGATAAGCTCTTTCAAGTAACATGAGCAAGGCTACAAATTCTTATTTCTTTAAAATGATGTACCGGTAAGTGAAATGTTTGTTGCTAGCAATGAGTCGATTTTAAAATCGAAGCACATTTTAAAAAAAAAAAATACACAAATCTAAATCTTATGAATGAAGTTACTTTCATTTCACTTCTACGATTCATCACGGGCAGAGAAAAGTAACTGCCTCCCAGCAAGGCATCCGTGTTCATGGTCTGGGTACCATATGCATACAACAGATGTGCCCTCCAATGGCTATCACGGTCATTATTTACAGCATGGGAACACTGTTCACACAGAAACGTGTTGAATATTCCAGTAAGTAAATCAATACAAACATCCTCAAACCGCCCATCTTATCTGGTTCATTGCATCCTATCAACTTATTTATGGTAAACCCAGATTTTAGGGATTCAGGAAATTAAATGTAAATTAATAAATAAATAATTTTTGATTTTTTTTTTTCCCCATACTTTAATAAATGAATGCATTTACTCAATTTTTTTAAATTTTGAGTCTGGAAAAATTGAGTTTCATTACCAAATGTTATTGGAGTACCCAATCTTTTCTTTTGAAAATCCATTTTTGAAAAATTAAATCCAACGGGGAATGTATGAAATCCCAACCCATTAAACCCCACGGGAAAAAAAAAATTTTTAAAAAAGGGGGATAAGTGTAGCAAACAGGTGTTCAGTTGTGCAACTCCCAGGGCCGGCTTTCGCCTACTCAGCACTGGTCACCTCTGTTTCAGTAATCTTGTGAACAATGAGCTTGACCACCTCAGGATGGTCTTTGTGAAGGGTGGGCCACCCATAGTAGAACGTGTCCTCGACGACCTCCTTCAGGCTGCGCTTCACCACTGAAATAAGACGTGAAGAGGTCAACAACAAGGATAGCATCTTTTTTTTTAAGCTTTAAAACTTGACGTCACATTTTCTTAAACTTAAAGCTGTTTCAACGGTAACAGATCCTGACCTTTGAATACTGCACCAAAGATCTACATCCAAGCTGTGTCAAGTGGAAGCAAATCATCTAAGACACACGTAACGATTTTTTTTTTTCAAAAGTCATAACCTAAGTAACAGGGAAGAATGTCTACTACCAAAAATGTGTAACAGCTAGATAGGTAAAGTGATATCGCAAACTAGTTGCGGGGTGGAAACCCACCGTAGAAACCATCTTAAAGGGCATCCCGATGCTTCCCGGGATAGGTGGGGGAAGATATTAGGACGTAAATTTACCATCCCAACTCCTGGGAAAGTCGATTGTGTGCACTGTGAGTACGCAGCGTCAGACCGCCTGAATGTCCTTGGATTGGGGCAGCCTCCAGCGCAACCCAATAGAGCAGACTCGGGTGAGGGCTGTCCTGGTAAAGGGAATCTCCAACGTGCTGCTTCGCTGCCCGATACTCGGGCTTGGGGGGGGGGGGCTAATTTGGGGGGGGCATAAAGAACTTTAGCTCCACGGCCCCCTGATGCCATTTCCAAAAGGGATATTTCCGTAATTAAACAATATATATATATATATTCATATATTATTAGGGCTTGGGGGGGGGGGGGCTAATTTGGGGAGGGCATAAAGAACTTTAGCTCCACGGCCCCCTGATGCCATTTCCAAAAGTGATATTTCAGTAATTAAACAATATATATATATATATATTCATATATTATTAGTCATAAAACTCATTACTTGGCAAACTTCAATATGACTTCAACAAAGCAAACACTGAAACACGACATAAATTACCTCCACTGACAAATTTCTCCAACCAGAAAGTTTTAAAAGATGAACACTTGCTGGTGATTCGGCTGCCCAGAGGCGAAAGGTCAACCATTGGAGGCTGCACAGGGCGGTAATTTTCTCGAATGACCTTCGCCTTCGGCATGTAATAGCCAGACTAAAAGAAGAAATTTGAAAAGTATTATTTGGAAAGGAACAAGTTTTCAAGAGGCTAATTCAACAAAGAAATGAGATCATGAGCATTTCATTAGTGGCACAGTTGTGAATAGGCTACTTTGTAAATAGAGGTGTGTTTACCAGGCATGTAATAGCCAGACTAAAAGAAGAAATTTGAAAAGTATTATTTGGAAAGGAACAAGTTTTCAAGAGGCTAATTCAACAAAGAAATGAGATCATGAGCATTTGATTAGTGGCACAGTTGTGAATAGAGGTGTGTTTACCAGGAGTTTTTCAATCAGGTCAATGACGTCTCTGGGAGGAGCAATCATGCTTCTGTTTAGCTTCATGATGAAGCAGACTTGGTTGTGTTGGTCCACTATGGCTGTGTAGTTCTGGCATGGAAAAGAGGAAAAGTCAAAGTCAAGCAAAAATTAAATCTGAATAGATAAATTGTTTTAGAGCAAACGGTGTCACTGAATTTTTTTTAAAATTGAACAAAAAATGGACAAAGACGTTAAAAGTTAGCAATAAACTGGGAGATTGAAGCTCTTATTCTAATCTCTTCAAGTAAAAGATTCAAACTAACCCGACTAAAGTCGTGCCACACAAGGTGAGACTGAACCTCGTCAAAGCTGGGCGTGATCAGCTGCTCGTACATCTCTACATCAGATGATTCGATTTTCTCTTCAAAAAAGTCCTCGTCGTTGGTAAAAGCCATGGGTTCTGGGAGTCTGTTGTGGTAGGATTCATCAAAGTACAGGTTCCCGCAGACACCACTGTAAACCTGTTCAATGGTCTAAGCAGATGAGCAGCCAATAACATGAATAGTTAAAACATCACATGACTACAGTTACACCTGAATGCTTCTATCAGTTGACTAAATTTCTTGCAATTAAAAAAAAAACAATGGGGGGAGGGGGGAGAGAAGAGGCACAATCAGGAGGCTTCATTGCATAGTGTTATTATAGTGGTCTTATATAGTGCGGTACGCCAGCCTAGGGCTAGGCTCACAGCGCTTCTCATAAAAATTAGTAAAAAAGAAAAGCAGAAACATGACATTAAGAAAACAGTTATATGAATATGATGTAATTGTATCTTCAAAAATAAAGAAAGCACCCAATTACATTGCGAAAAAATCACTGGCGTTCACAACCCCAATGTTTTTTGTGTGGTTTTTTTTTAGAAAGTGTTGTTTTTTTTTTGGACATTGACATGTGAAAGAACCATGTGAGCGACAATGGCAGAAGAATAAAACATAGTTACTACTACTTATCACCTTGTTTATTGAGTCATAAAATATAACCTCTTCTTCCCCCCCCCCCCAACTACTATTCTTTTTATTCAGATAAAAAAACACACCTTCTTGTTGAGGTGCCTGTAAAATACAACAGCCCCAATAGCTCCACAAGCCAGAATCACCAAGATGAAGATTGTCAACAACAGGTGAATACAAAATGTGCGGCGTTTCCTCTGGAAGTAATTGACCTGCAGAGGCTTGGATGCAACATCATAGGCTCCTTCCTCTTCATCTTTGAAGCTGGTCTGTAAAAAACAAATTGCTTTCTCGTTAAGCCTTTTTAATACAATTGAGAATAAAAATTGACATTATTTAACAAAACACAAATGTCACACGTTTCAATCGACGACTGTGTCAAGTTGAACAGCAAAAGCCAACTTAAAGAAGGTCAATTAATAAACACCCTGACATCTTAATTTCTGAATGGATGGTGTCATAAAGATTATCTTATCAAAGGGGAGGCGGCTTCAAAATATCAGGGTTGCTTATTTTTTTTTTTTATGTTTGTTTCAGCTCTCATCACATCCAATGCGGAAGCGTATGAGTTAAGACATCAACAGTGTATGTGTTTAGACATCAAAAGTATACTTTTAAGAACATTTTCCTTAAAAAGCTGCAACCAAAAATTATTACTTCGCTCTACTTATTTAATCCTTTTTGTCTTAATTCATTATGACTATATAGGCCCCACTCAATAACTACTTGCAAAATGATGCGCTTTTTTACAATAGAAAATATTCATTTAGGTAAGCCAAGAAACAATTTTAAAGCTGACTGATTTGATTAGAGTAAAGCTGTATTATTTGCTGTCTGTTATCTTCAGTCATGGGGGAGGGTGGTCATTTTTTCATTTTATTTACTATTAGAAAATTAATTCTGCTTCTGCCTTCAATTAAAGCAGACATGTTAGTTCTTCATGAGAATATTTACAAATTGGAAGTATAAAGCATTAAAAATTGAGCTTTTTAAATGTTAGGCTAATTATTGACAAGATTCATGCTGTTTTTTATTTATTTATTGGTTAGATAAAATGTATAATTCCTATAATAAAACTATAACAAATACAAAATGTATTTGCCTGAAAACAAAGTTGGATGTCAGATTAGAAAGAAAAGCATACACGGTTTTTTTTGTTTGTTTTTTGTTTTTTTTTTGGGGGGGGGGGGGGGGGGGCATCAAATAACAAACAGAGACAGAGTACACTTTTTCTTCCTTGGGAGTAAAACGTTCACACATATCAGGCAATGTCAATAAAACTCACAAAGAATTTATCCAACATATACTTTGAAAACAGCTGAAGAAATGTTCAATGTTATTGATAATTACATCAATCGAAATGGCAGCCACTGGAACGAATGTGTGGAACTGAGAAATATGAAGCTGGTCCAAAGGAAACTTTATACAATTTCCGCCAATGCATTAAAAAATGTTGAATTAATACAGTTTCTTATGACACAGCACTCCAAGACATTTTGGACAAACACCCCTGTCTGTATTTAGGCTCACCGAAAATCTAGGTTTGACAGGATTATCCCTGTTTGGGAGCATTGTCCCAGCCTGTTTGAACACATTGTGAATATCAGGATTCAGTTGATTTCAAATTCCATATTTAATTCAGGTAACTAAAATTCTGTATGAACATAACGTCAGGTTATGCGCTCTTTTAGACAACATGTATTTATTTATGGAAAGTACATGAGTAAAGTTGAGGAGGTCTCTTTGAAATGTGGCCTGTGCCAAATGTTTCGCCTGTCACCTATACGATGAGGCCTCTCCCCCCCCCCCCCCCCCCCCNNNTTTTTTTCCCGCCACTTTTTTTTTTCCTTAAGAGAAGTTAAGTAGTAATTTTCCATTGGCTATAAATGTGATACATTTACATTACAGAACTGTTCAGAGAATTTGGACAAAAAAGAATTAAGAAATTTATTATGAGAAAGTAGATTCAAATGAGAGCTGCAAAGCTATTTATAGTATTTTTCTCCTTAAGCATCACACACAATGTGATTTTTCAGACTTTGCAAGTTACCCTGACCAAAGGCTTACCTTAACTAAATGTTGCCCTATGCGAAAACCCAAAATTACACCTTCACACCTATTTGTGCCGCCCCTTTAGAATACATACACCACTGGTTTCACTTAAAACTTTGGTCCCTGGGTAAATTTACGCAATCTGCACCACATATTTCCCACAACCGTCATCTTGGTTGCCACAATGGCACGTGTCATAAGAACAAGATGGTGGCTGTGTAAAAATTAAAAAATAGTGCAAACACACTCTACTAAAATAGGGAGGGGAAAGAGAGAATGTGCTGTTTTAGCTAGAGATTGATAAAATTATTGCTTTTGATCAGAGTCTGGGAAAATTTGAAAAATCTCGTCATACATCGGCTGAACAGACCATAAACAAACTCATCAACTCAAACACCTTCACATTTAGTGACCCCATTGCGCAATAAAGTGATAATTTTATACAGCTTTTATTTCTAGAATTAATGCTGTATTAAAAAGTAATTTAAATAATGTTATGCAATTATAATTACAGACCTGCCAAGAAAATAAATCTGTAGGGGGGTGTGCGCGGCGCCCCAAGAGGGGGAACGGCGTTGGTTTAAGATCTACATACTAATGCACAAGCCATTTTTAGTGTATGAAGAAATATAAAGTTACCTCCACTGTCTTTGAATAGTCCATAGAACATGAGAAAAATAATTCTGGAAATGTCTATACACAGATATATACAGATCAGAATGTCCAATTTATTTACATATGTGCACAGGGTGCTAAGAGTTCAGTTTTTTAGCAAACCCTCGTAGCCTTTTTGCACTTGTCCAACAGCTCTTTGGACAACTGAAGGTTAGCATTGCAACTGATTTAGTTACAAGCAAGTTAGAAAGAGTATAGAAAGAGAATCAAATATCATGCTTGCCCTTGTTTCATTGTATTTTTTCTTCATTGTCTTCTAGTAATCTTTCTTTGACTTCGGCATTAAAACGATCAGAGTTGGCTAGAGAAATATTTCCTTCAATAAGAAAGGTGGTAAATAAAACTTCCGATCTAACAACTGTATCGTCCGATTCCTTAGCAAAGAAATTAAACATGGATGTCGTATATTCACTGCTTTTAACTGCAGTTGTATGTTGTTTTTTGTTAAAATATGTTTATTAATATCATTGTACCCACCATTTTCAATAGATTTATCCATTTAATTAAGATAAATGTCCAGACTATCTTGAATTTGTTGAAATGAAGTACCGGTACCGCAGACTCTGATAGACTATTAGCACTCATTTGACAAGGCTGATAACCTATTCATCCAGACGCTGGACATGTAGACACTTCGTAAAACAAAGAAAGTGTTATCATCGAAATTCACCACTTCTGTCGTACCCGATATTTGTTTTTAAATTATTTTTTAGTCGCTTTAGGATTTTTATGACGAGTGAAAGATTAAAATGTTCGAAAAATCGGAATTTTAAGGAGTTTGTCTGTAGGTCGGAATGAGGGGTAAAAAATCTGTATAATTCTGACAAAATTGGAAGGATTTGCAGGTCTGTAAATAAATTGTAACTTATTTAACTATGCACTATGTATACCGGTATCAGTAATTTTTTATATATATATATATATTAAAATATGGCTTTTCTGTTTACCAAGACCATGGCGTCCATTATACCAGTGTAAACAGTATAGTCTATAAAAGGCATCCCCTTATTACTAAAATACTGTCTGGGGTCGACTTATTTTAAACTTTCAACTTAGGCACATGAATAATTAAGTAAAGCTTTCCTTGACCAATGGTTTAATAGCTTTTGCACACGGCAAGCTCTTATGAATGAGATAGTAATATGGGATCTCATTTCAAGTAGGTAACTCCGACATACAGTTTACACCCTCTGCTAGGAATCTTGTTTATATTCTTTCTAACAACATGTCTCTTGATAAACATATCTCTCACATTTGTGGTTCAGCATACACCGCTATCTGTCAGATCAGCTCCATACGCCACTACCTAACAGTTAGCGCAACAAAAACTCTAGTGTGTGCTCTTGTTCTCTCTCGTCTTGACTATTGCAACTCTCTTCTGTCAGGTTCACCAAAACACTTCATAGAAAAACTGCAGAAAGTTAAAAACTCAGCTGCTAGGCTAGTTCTAAAGGCAAAAAAAAAAACGTGATCACGTCACTCCACTACTCCACTCACTTCATTGGCTCCCTATACAGGCACGCAATGACTACAAGTTGTCTGTTCTCTGTCACAACTTTTTCTTGGATTCCTGCCCTTCCTATCTAACAGAACTTCTTTCTATCTATTCACCCCTTCAACAGCTTCGCTCCTCTGCAGACACGCGTATTCTGTCCGTTCCCAAGACACGCACTAAAACATATGGTGAATGATCTTTCTCTTTCTGCGCCCCCAAACAATAGAATTCTTTGCCGCTACACATCCGCAATATACCAACCACCCAGGCGTTCAAAACTGCACTCAAAACACATCTCTTTAAACTATACTACCCTGACTGATTCCCCTCCTCTGACCGATAAACGATCTTGCAGGCTGCTGTCCATGGTTTGCCTTGTAAAAGTTCTGGGGTGGGTGGGTGAATATTCATTTGTTTTTTTTATGTTTTTTGGTTAGACGCTGTTCTTTATTTCATAATTTTTTTTTTTTAAATGTTGATAATACTTGAATATTTCTCAAGTATCGGCATCTTCCGCCATTAAATAGGGGGTGCGGTCACATCGTAGCAAATTTGGGTAGAGCGACATACATAGTACACTGCTCACGCCTAGAACCATAGCGTCTCTCATAAAAGACATGGTGCTTTGAAAATTGGCACACTGGTAGATCAATATATACCCGATATGCGTAATAAATATGACATATTTTTAACTTCGACTTAATCTTAATGATGAAAATTGCCTTATATTCACCAAGGATTTACTCAAAGTTGACCGATTGTAAATGAAAAAGAAATAGATTAAAATGTAGGCCAAGATGTCCTCTAAAGCCGACTAAACTACAGTGAAAGACCGAAAAAGGAACACAATTGTTGGATGTAGGATAGTAATTTATTATTTTATTAATGAAATAGCACCAACATCTAAAAATTAAAAACTCGGATTTTCGGACTGGCAACGCCCATTTTCCATTCAAATTTTTTAGTAGTCTCCATTGCTTTATTACCGAATTATTACATATGAATAGATACTGTGGTAAAGCAAGGGAGACTACGTCAAAATTTGTATCGGAAATAGGCGTGGGCGCAGTAAAATCCGACTTTTAAATTTTTTAATGAGCGTGTCAATTCATTGATAAATGAGTCCTTTTGACATATAATTGAGTTCCGCTTCGGCCTTTTCACTTTAGAAGACATCTTGGCCTACATTTCCACCAAGCAATTTTGCTTTTTTAATCGACTTTTATTTTGAAAATCTTTGGTTTACATAAGGCATCTTCGCACACAAAATTGTTTGTGAAATAAAAAGAACAGGCCTTTCATATTAAATCTTGAAAAGCATTAGATATTGAAGTATATTTGAGCCAACTCTCATTGATGTAGGTCGTGTCTGACGTTCGTTACGCTTGTCCCTGTGACCCACATCACCATAAGGTCACTCAGCCTAATTTCGACATGGCGTGGGCCACACCCCTTTTTTAATGGCAGAAGTTGCTGATACTTAGGAAATATTTAATTATTACCACTATTTACATCAAAATATTTGATAATTTGTGTTTCAGAATGCATTTTGACTTTTAAACTGGAATGTTTTAATATGAGCTTTAAAAATCCTGTAGAGTCCATATTATAAATAATCAGATTTTTCCGTGTGCAACACGTTGTCATTGGCAACCATTCACAGCCACTTGCATAATGGCTATATCGTAGTAATACCTCAGAGTTTCATTTATAAGAGTTTACCGTGTCCAAAAACTATTAAACAATTGATCAGGGAAAGGTTTAGTTAATTATTCATGTCCCAAAGTTGAAAGTTTAAAATAAGTCGACCCTAAACAGTATTTTAGTGATAAGTGGATGCGTTGCCTTATATAAACTATATAGCCATTGCGCAAGACGTGATCAGCGGAATGAGGTCACAAGATGTGGAGGTTTCGTCCATAGTAAAAAATACCAACGAACTCACACTTTAAAAATTCGTAGCTTAAAAAGTTGATTCTGGTTTCATTTTTTTTATTGGAAATTTGCTCTAATTAACTGTAGTATCAAAAAAATTATTTTAAGTTTTTTAACTGAAGTACCTATTATATGATATTAATTAATGGAAGGTTTAGGCCTAAAAAAAATGTTTTAATAAATTTATTTTATTTCACTAGAAATAATTAATCATGCCTAGATGACCTAGGCTTGAATACGAGAGGGAATAAATTATTCTTCTTAATTTTGGCTTTTATCATCGAACATTATTTTATTTAAACTCCTCTTCTTTTTGCAGTGTTGACAAACAAAAAACAATGGCGGCTGGCAGGGTTGAGCTCACAAGTCCAAATAGGAAGACGAAAATCTATCCATTTCTTAAATCTCTAAAATGGCAATTTACTGTGATTATCCAAATAGTAGTAAATAAACCGTCTTACCAGCGGTTCTGTCACAACTTCTGGTTCAGGTGTGCCTTTTTCAGGCTTCTTTTCGGACTGTGATGGTGAATAGATGGTCATTTTCAAGCCTTTCGTCTTTCGTAGAACGACTTTGGTATAAATGTACACAGCTAATACTGATGACGTAGTACGCTAAATCGCTTGGTGGCTCTAGAGCAGGGATCCTCAAACTATATCTTGCGATCTAGAACCCAGGTCATCGTTCGGTTATAGGGGAGGCAGTGAACAAAGTGGAATCGGACTAAAGGCAAAAGCTAACTCATACTTCCCATTGAAGTAATATTCTTTCTGTTCCCAAGACACGCACTAAACAATGCCCCCAAACAATGGAATTCTCCCATTACACATCCGCAATATACCGACCATCCAAGCCTTCAAAAATTCCCTCAAGACACATCTCTTCAAACTCTACTATTCCGAAAAATTCCGACTTATTTTCACCCCACTCTGACTGATAAACAACGCTCGATGCTGCTGGGTGGGACGTCCATGGCTAGAAAGGGGGTAAATAGTACTTAGGTGGGTGAGGTCAATCTTTTAATAAAGTTGTTTTTAAATTAATGATTTTACGCAACTGTTTTTATTACATGTTTCTTTTCTTTTTTTTTTTTTTAAATCTTTTTGCTAATTTTTATGCGAAGCGCGGTGAGCCTAGCACTAGGCTGGGGTACCGCACTATATAAGACCACTTAAATAATAAGTAATGATAATTTGATGCTTATTAAAGGGGGGGGGGGGAAGGACCCCCCCCCCCCCCCCCCCGAATGTTCGAACTGGTCACCTGACTAAAAAGTTTGAGGACTCCTTTTTATTTTATTATTGATGTTTTGTTTAGGCATAGTTTTCTTTTCTTTTTTAATATCAGATAAACATTTAAGGTAGAAAATTGAAATTGAAATAGCCAACATATTTGATTTAGTGTAATTGTGAATGTGTTGAAATTAATTTTAGTTTGTATTAAAATTAATATCAATTAATATTAATGATCTTCAAATGGCATTTTCTGATTTATTTAATGTATCCATAATCATAATACTACCTAAAGATCCACTGCAGACTGCAGGCATAATTTTTTAATAATGATCACGTCGAAACTTTTTAAAAATTGTTTATATTAAATATCTATAAATTCATATATATTTTATTTATTATTTATTTATTTTATTTATTTATAAATCAAGGAAAAGAAATAAAAATAATCGTATGTTGACTTAAAATTTAAAAAAAAAACACAACTTTTGCAAGTTCAAGGTTGTTGGGATGGTGATAGAAAAGTATCAAAATGGCGTTTTACAAAGAAAGGTGGCCTGCAATTTGTAAGCCATGGATAAGTAAATCCGATGGCTCTCTTTATCAAAAAACAGCCACTGCTCCAGCGCCTTCTAAGGATTATTTGCAATTATTTATAACAATGGATCATGTATGTATTAGCCTTTTCGTCAAGATTATGAATATTATTAATATGTACAATATAAGTGCGACTCAATATAAAAGTCGTAGTATAAGTGTAAGTTGTAAGCCAAAATCGAAATACGCATGAAATTGAATGATTGAGTAATGAGCAGCATAGTAATACAATAATTATATAATTATAAGAATAAGCATACTAGAAAAAAATAGATAGTAAATAAAGATGTGGTTTGCCCTTTCCATGTGAAGATGACCAAGGCTATAAATATTCAGCTCAATGTCAACTGATGCCAATACGCAGATGGCTTGCCAGTCCTACTTGTGCCTGGAAAGCTTTTCTGCATGTGGGACACATGTTTTGGGTCCTAGATGGATTGGAGTTATTCTACTTTTCCTTGCTGTATTCTTTCTTTGGGCATGGGCAGTGCATTTATTCTCTGTGGATTGTGTTCCAACACAGTGAGTCTGCATCAACAGCTTGTACATTCCATAGTCAAGTGTTTCCACAAATGAAAGTCGACGTCTATGGATTTGAGTGAAGCTTTTACACAATCCTTAAAGTGCTTTTTCTGCCCACCAAGTAAGCATTTCCCTCTGGAGAGTTCATCAAATATTAGTTAGGAAGTCTGCTGTCTGGAATCTCTCAACATGCCCTTCCCACTTAGCTTGTCCTTTTTGTAGAAGCTGACAAAGATGACAAAGTCAGCCTGTGTTAGGACCTCTGTATCATGGACTTTGTCCTGCTACCTTATGCCAAGAATTTTTGTATACAGTGTAGGTGGAGATGGTTTAGTTGTCTAGCATGTCTGCTGTACATTGTCCATTTCTCGCTATCATATAGGAGAGATGTTTATTCAACTGCCCTATATATTTTCTCAGCTTAGTGATAAGACTGAGACCCCTTCACTCCCAGACAGTCCTGCGGAGGCTTCCAAATGCAACATTTACTTTGGAAATTTGGTTGTTGATCTTATCTATTGTTACTGACCTTGAGATGGTGCTGCCCAAATATGGGAATTTTTTTACCTCTTGAGATTCTATTGCTTCACTTATATTTTAGTTTTTTTTTAAAGATTTCTGATCTCTGCAAGATCTCTGGGGTTTTTTCATACTGATAATGGGGCAGTAGTTGTTGCATTTAGGGCAGAGTCATCAGCAAATAAATGGTCTCGAATAACCATTTCTTTAAATTTTGTAATGGCTTGGTGTCCCTTAAGATTAAATAGCACTCCTTCTGTCCTTTATCTTATATGATTGATGTCATTATTGTCAAGAAATGCATCAGTAAACATTGCTAAGAATACCTTGGTAAAAAGAGTTGGGACTAGAATACAACCTTGTTTTACCTCATTAGTTTCAGGAAAAGCCATAGACTCATCACCAGAATCCATCATCCTGGCCATCATACCATCATGGCGTTGACATATAATAAATCTACTCGGGCACCCAAACTTCTCTCTTATCTTTCACAGGCCATCTTTACCAAATGCCTTGGTTAGATCAACAGAGGTCGATGAACATGCTGCTGTGCTGCTCTTTAAATATCTCCTGGAGCCAGCGTGCAGCAATATCATGTCAGCTGTGTAATGTTCTGAACAAAATCCACATTGGCTGTCAGGGAGTTGTCCCTGTTCAAGATGTAGAATGATTAAGTAGGACTCTGGCCATTATCTTCCCAGCTGTGGAAAGGAGAGAAATGCCTTGATAGTTATCACAGGTTTGGTAACTGCCCTTTCTCTTGTTTCTGCATATTATATTTGTATCCTTGAATTGCTGAGAGACAGTACCATCTTTCCATATCGTTTGAAATAGCTTTGTCAGTCTTTTTGTCAGGACTTGCCTTTTGCTTTGTAGATTTCGGCAGGGATTGCATCTTGTCCGGGGGGCTTTATTTGAGGAGTGATGCTGGATTGCCATACCGACTTCACCTATATTGTGACTATTGTATAGCTCTTGGTTGATCTCCACATGTGATAAATGGGCAATGGCATTATCGTTTGTAGCAGCCGAACAGCTGTAGACTTGAAAAAAGTGTTTGGTCAGTAGCTAAGTTCTATCTTTGTTAAGAATGGGCTAACAGCCTGAGGACTGTGGTCCATAGACTTCTTTTATGGGCATCATAGATTTTTTTAGTATCATGTCTATCATGCTGAGTCATAAGTCATGCATTTCACAAAGTTTCTTTTGCACGTTATGTTCCATTTTGCTGAGAGCATTTTTCTTTACCTGTGACGTAGAGTTTTCTCAAATGGTACCGGGCCGCCCAAGAAATATTAAATTATTTCCATTTTATAAGCTTACCACATTTTCTGGATGATAAGTACGGACACAGAGGCTCACAGCAACCGGAACCATACAGGCGGTTGGGGTGGGGGTGGTGTTGTTGTCCTGGATTTTTTTTTTGGGGGGTGGGGCACCCCCCCCCCCCCCCCACACTCGTACGTACAAGTAGCTTTAGCCCCCATCCCTTTAAAAAAAAAACAAAGACATAAAACAATTTAATTGGTAATTGTGACGTTTCTGAATAAATATTTTTTTTTAAAAATGAGTCGCGTGTTTATACAGCCGACAATTTGGCCAGCCCAGTGGTCCCCTTATTATGAGTCGCTTTAGGTGTCATGTTGCCCTAGGGCAAAGAGGGCAGTTACAGCGGGCACCAAATTCTTATTTATATAGTATCTTAATAGTGAATTAAAATATTAATGGCAAAATACCTGAGATTGCCACCACAGCACTTAAATACCTATTGCCATTTCCGACATCCTATCTGTGTGAAGCGGGGATTTCTGCAGTGACAGCAACGAAAACAAAACAACGGAATAAACTGGACATAAGCAACACACTTCGGGTGTCATTGTCTCTTATTACCCCAAGATGGAACCAGGGTCGGCCTTAGGCCACTGCAACCTATGTGGGCCTCACACTTTTTTTCTAATACAAAATCTTAATTTTCCCTTATTATCCTTATCCCTACCCAGACTGGGCCCCGCGCAATCCGTTTGGCATAGGGCCCCGCAATTGTTAGGGCCTGCCCTGGATGGAACCATCTCATTGCAGAAAAACAAGGAGCTCATGGTTCTCATTGATTTAGCGCTATAGTGAGTTAAAATGATAAATCAGTTGATATTCATTTTTGATATAACGGTATTTTATTTTGAAGGCATGTTTAACTACAATTAAATAAAAATTATCGATCCAAACAATCCTAAAATAAACAATCAACACCCCCAACCCTTCAGCGGGCCGTGGTAAAATTATCAAACATTGACCGGTCCATGGCGATAAAAAGTTTGGGGACCACTGTTCTAGAGCAGTGGAGCAGATAGTATTTCTAAATTTAGATCATTTGGGATTAATATTTTCATTTCCCGCCGAGGAATTATCACTCAGCCTGCTTTCAAGTTCAGTGGAAAATTATTCAGCCATGTTTATACACTTAAGCTTGTGTTCATTTAGCTTTGTTTTAAATTTCTGGCCTTTGAGGTCTTTTCGTGGGTATAACATGAAATTTTAATTTGGATATGGTCTGTTGGTCAGGGCAGCATTCAGGGCCACACATTGCCTTGGTTACCCATGTCATATTTTATGGTGATGACATAGTCAATCATCTGCCAGTGGATTGAACTCATTTGCATCTAGGAAATCTTAGTTTTTGTGGGGAGGCAGAAGAATTGCTGTTACATTTTCCATTGTTATGTCTTTGGATAG